TGACTCATCATTCTCATACATCTAGGTAAAGAAATATAACATCCATAACATTAAGAGGTTGCATCAGGGCTCGCAAGCAGTAGTACACTTTTGCGATATCTTAGTGGCATATATACTTTAGGACTCATAATAGATTCAGTTTAGTCCTAGAATCGGGTAAGCCTGACGTTATAATACCACTAGATGAAACATATCTTACCCGATCTAGACAAATGACCAAGTAGGAGAAGTCACACCAACCATAAAAACAATATGGAAAACCAAACATAATTACTATTCACCACTTTCATGATAATTTATTTATTGATTGATTTTTTTATAAATATATCACACATTCACCCCAGTGAGAGTAACGCATAATTACAACGTCGGGTGAAACCCATAGATTCTAGCAGTCTAAATAATACTTAATTCCAATAATGACAGTAACCTATCCATACTTACATCAATTAAAATTGTCGCATAATTTGAACAATAAACTCATAACAGACTTACACCAAAAAATCTGGTTTCTCAACACAATTTTCATTATTGAACTTATCACGAATCTACACCTGGTAAAACTAATATTTAAAAATACTCAAGAAACACATTGTAAGATAAACTAAGCATGCTCATAATGATTCTTCTTAACCTTTGTATGATCAAAATAAGGTTCTTAAAAACCATTAATATTCTTTAAAAAGAACCAACTATATCGTATATCTAACATTCACCATATACATGCCACTACTAGGATATCAAAATACGAAAAGTAAATCCATTACGGTGATTGCTTGTGGTAACCCTTGCTCGAAGATGCAACACTTGGCTGACTAAGATTCCTTCGAAGTACCGACGTGTGAAAACAACACGCTAAGAAATAATCTTAGTGAGGTAATACAGAATCAAAATACAATAATAACCAAGTGAGATCTTTCAATGGTAATTGATAAGCCAATATGTATAATAACTATGGAATTCATACTCAAGCATAGAAATTCGTTAAGGATGTGCCCAAAGTAATCCTTATAAGTTCTCTAGCTATGTGAGATGGGTCAATATGATTGGCATACAATACACCAAACACAACACCAAAGCGAGACTCGCCTCGCAAGGGTGAACGAACCTGAAGGTCCAAGAACATAGCTGCTCGACCCTATGCATGCCATTGTACCTTAACACTTCTATCTAGCTACTTGGACAATTCAGTCATACAACCAAATTTCTATAATATTATACAATCATCCGTACATACAATAGTTTTCATGGGACTTGCCACAGTTTCCATAAACTATAAATCAAATTTAACAACTATATTTGCACGCACCTTTACTTAACTTACCAAATACGTACTCAAGTCCTAATGAGGTTTAATTGTCATCTTTCTTTTTGTCATGAGATTTTCCAACCTTTGAGTCTTCTTGAGTAACTTTAGAAATTACTCTATACTTGCACAAGTAATGGTTTTCATCAACAAATATTTACCCAACTATACCCATATACTCATTCTTGGCTTCAAAAATGCATATATGCTCAACAAATAATTTCAACTTTGAATAATATAATAGTTAGATTCCCACAATTAATAATACTCTATTTGATGTTTCTCTCTCAAAATATCTAGTTTTTCACATAAAACCTATATGGGGTTTTCTAGATTTTTAGCCCCCACTCCTTAAACCAGCATAATATCATACTCATTTTAAAGGAAATTCCATGGAGAAAATTTTTGTATTTCATGGGATACCCCAAAATCTCTCCACTTTAAAAAAAAGAAGAAAAAAAAGATGAAACTCCTTACCTTCTAAAGTGGCGTCTAGGAGAAGGAGAAGAAGATGAACACCTTTTCGCTCATCTTTTCTCTTTGCAACCCATAATATAACCCATGTTTTTTTTTCTCAAAATAAAAATGGCCATAATATCTCAAATCTAGTGGCATAGATTGAATATGAAGTTTCCAACAAGAATCACATGGTTCATATTTCTTGCTTGTGTTAGTATCCATAATTTCTTTGGGAATATTATTCCATAAAGAGTTCAACTATTCCCTTGTTTCCACCTAGAGTTGCGTAGTTCCCTTTTCGCAATTTAGTCCTTATTTTTCCATCGAGTCGTTTGTTAGCATTAAAATCATTCAACCAAGACCCAAATTTAGTCCTACCATTAATGAAAGTCACTACATTAGTGCTTAAAAATAACAAAATTACCAGTTTAGTCCTTGAAAGAAATTTCAGGGCATTACACGTTAAAATACACTTAGTGGGACATTAATAATAATAAAATAAAATATCGATAAATTTAACTTTTCATGTAAAAAATAATACAATAGTATCATGTAATAATATAAAGAACATGTAAAATATACTTATTAAAGTCATTTTCGTTCTTTTAAAATATTGTTCACATAAGTACCTCATTTAATCAAATCCAATAATCATGATAGATTGGCTTTGAATTAAACAAATCAACCTGCACTTTTCAATTTCACATAACTATAGCCCATTATATAATAAATGAGAATACATAGTACACGAGTCATATAAACGAGGGTATTATTTGTAATATAACTGCCTATGAATAAATTATACATTTAGTGCCCTGTGAATCAATTGTACCATAGTTGTCATATAACCAATTTGCACATATAGAATATGGGTGTACAAGTACTGTAGAACACAACAATACTGTACCTATAACCAGGAATACATTACACTAACATTTTATATATGCACACAACATATCACAGAAAAACATATCATGTTTCTTTCTATAATGTACACAAATGTACCTATGTAAAATCAATCAATAAACACACCACCTCATGTCATGCCAATAGTACCAACAAATCTCAATGCATATACAATGGGTTTTTTTTTTAACAAATTCATGTACCATTCACTTATCAAAGTGTCATATAAAAATGTATTGGGTAATTCATATAAAATCATTTGAATACCATTTTGTAAAAGTATGAAAATAAATCAAAATACGATTTAAATTCTTTTCTTTTTAAATCATTTGAGGTTGGCTCATTGCAAGTGTACTCACCTAGTAATGCATCGCTAGCAAACCTCTATTTTCGATACAACTTCACTCTTTCACTTTTTCCTTAACGTCAAGCTTGCTTGTATATTGATCTCGATAACGATCTATGTAAACCGCCATTTACAAAACATATACAATTTCAAATTATATGTTAGTATCATTCTAACATAAGCATATACTAGAAATAAATTCATCAAAATATTTCGATACAAATTCGATATTAACTACACTTCGCAACACCATCTTTAACCTTAATATTCAAAATGGCCTATCAAGTCCCTTACTATTCCTATTCATCACTTGATCACATGAAATTTCTAATTTTTACATTTCAATCACTAATATGAATTCTTTTATAATTCATCTCAACTTTTCCAAAATATTCAAAATGATCCCTTGCCATTTAACTTCAATTCAAACTTCTAATAGCAAAACTAAACATTCCAATATTTAATTTAAACATAGTACATACAAAATTGCAATCTTGCCACTTTAATCCAACGATCCAAATTGAAAATGGAAATTAATTCTCAAATCCAATGATTCATATTATTTTCCATCATTTTAAAACATGAAAATAATATTTATAATCTTAATTTAATAACCTTTAAATTTTCTCGAAATTTCTATTCGATCCTATTTACCAAATTTTTACCGGACTTTAACATTTTCTCATTTTTTAACACGAATTCCATATCAAAAATATGATTTCAATAAAACCCACTCTCAATATTAAACTATCCGTTTATCTAATAAAAATTATTTTTGATAAAATTACCACTTAAGTTCCTAATTTTTTTTCTAATTTTATACATTAGCTACTAAACTTTCAAAATTTTCTAATTAAAGTTACATTTGGGTCACTATCCAAAATTTTGGGTATTACATTAAGCATGGAAATCATGAAAACAAATTACACCAAATGATAGAGAATTTCATGTAGAGGAAGATGATGTTTTCCTGATTTTTCTTAACAAAAGTCTACTAACACTTGGTATTTTAACCATTTAAAATAAATTTAAAATTCATTTTATGCTAAAAGACTTATTCACCCTTAAAAATTCATGATAATTATCGAATCACCATGCTACATCATAATTTCATCATCCTTACATCATCAAATTCAAACATAGACAAACATTTTCTAATCATCCAATTTTTCCCTTGCAATTTTCCAAAAATTATAATCTTGCCATTTTATTCTAAAAGTTCTTATTTAACATGGAAAATTAATTTAAATTCAATGATGTTAAATTCTATTGATAAAAAATATAGAAATAACATTATTAAGCTTTTACTGTCATCCTTCAAATTTTCTAAATTTTTGATTCGATCTGATTATCCAAATATTTTACCAAACTTTATCGTCTTATAGCTTTTAATAAAAAGTCTGGATAAAAAATATAATTCCCAAGAAAATTTTATTATTGAGGGTGAACTATTCATTTATAGGATAATATTTATTCTTGTGAAAATTACAAATTTGTCCCTAAAGTTTTCCCAAATTTATACTTTGCTACTAAACTTTTAAAATTTACATTTTGGTCCAAAATTTGGGATATGACAGTTTCAATGCATAATGAGGAAAATTTCATCCTCAAGAATTCAAAATTATTTGTATCAGACTTTCAGAAAAAATATCGATCTTTGATGTAAAAATTAAGGTTTGAAATATGAAATATCGATATTTATTCTATTCATATGGACACTATTTATATTTGTATTGATACTTGTTCTAATTGTTTCGATACTTAATATACAAGAGCAATGTCTTCATATTAAATGAACACACAAAACATTATACTAACAAATAAATGTAGTAGTAAAACTTCAACAACCATGACATAATTCCCAACCTAATCCAGCAGGTCACTGGTTTATGTAAAAAGAACCTATGATTCATCTAAGATGAAAACTTAACTCATGTTAAACTGAATAAAGAAAATATTTTTAGGGACCACTATCGATTAAAAATGGACCATGTTGCATCATACAAAGTTACTCCGAATGCAAAATGTGAAGAACCAGTTTTTGTAGATGTTTTTCAAAAGTTTCTTGGGGTGCTATTTTCTTCTCGTGATCAAGCTTGGGATTTATATATAACATATGCAAAGAAGCGTGATTTTAGTGCACAACAAGGAACAACACGGATATATAAAGAAGAGAACGTGAAGTTAGAAGAACTTTTTTGTTTGAAACAAGGGTTGCAGAAATCAAAATTAAATAATGTTGATTGTCAATGTGCTCATCAGGCAATCATAGAAACAAATTGCAAAGCTAGAATAGTAGTGAATGCAACAGAAACTGAAGATCAATGGGTTGTAAGTAAAGCTAATAAGGAATGTAATCATGAATTTTACACAAATGTTATGACACCATTTTTGCGTTCAAATAGAGCCGTCACTGAGACTGGTCTGGAAGAAGTTGGTGTTGGTACATCACAGGTTATGAATTATTTCAAGCATCAGGCAATTTGTTATTAAAATGTTGGCTTTACACATAAATACCTTTACAATGTACTTGAAAGGGGAAAAACGAAAGAAATTACTGATGGGGATGTCAATACACTAATATCCTACTTTGATTTTAAGAAACAAGATGATCTCATGTTTTTTATGACCTAATAAGTCGATAGATCAGGAGCATTACACAATCTTATCTGGGTCGATTCAAGGTCAAAATCAACCTACACCTGCTTCGGTGATGTAATTGCTTTCGACACAACGTATAAAGATAATTAATATAGTTGACCAATAAGCCCTATTGTCGGTGTCAATCATCATCATAGCACAATAGTATTTGCTACTGTTATCATCGCAGATGAAACCACTCAAATGACCGAATGGATTCTACATGATTTTTTATAGGCCATGATGAATAAAACACTTGTTTTAGTTATCAACGATGGGGATAGGGCTATGTAGAGGGAAATCAAATTTGTTATCCCTTTCTCTAAGAACATATTATGTTCATGGCATATTTCTTGCAATTCACAAACTAACATTGGTGACAAGAAGTTTACAATTGTATTTTCTAAATGTAAGTCTGCATGGTGGATAAATGAAGAATTTGATATACAATGACAGTTACTTGTTTTTGAATCCAATATGGAAAATCATCCATGGGTGATTGAGAAGGGAAATACTTGTCACTTATGGTCACAAGCGTATCTAACGGTCATTTCTTTGCCAATATTAGGTCTGCACAAAGGTGCGAGTCTATGAATAATTCACTCGTGATTGCATTGGCAAATAAGAATACATATTTAGATGTTGTTCTTGTAATTGATGAAGGAATTAGCCAAATACATATTAACGAGTTGCAAGTGGATTTCTTAAGTTCACAAATGAAACCTTTCCAAATAAAAAACTTACTAATCTAGAAAGCAATGCTGCCAAAGTATATACATGAGAATCATTTAGTATTTTCCAAAAAGAACATCAATGGGAGACATTGTACCAACTTCAGAAACATGTGAAAATATTAGATTAATGACAAACTTTTTTGTTGTCAAAGTACAAAGACAAGAACAAGACTCTTGAAATTTGTTTAGACCTCATTTTAGAAAGCTTAACATGCTTTTGTAGAAAATTTGAGACATTCAAAATTCAATTTCGACATCAACTACAAGTAGTGAAGAGCATGGATTACACATCTTTGCCTAATTCTTTGATTCTTAGTAGGTGGACAAAGGATGCAAAGATTTTCGCACCATGTTTTGTTGATTTCAATGTACCACCGAGGTTATGCAAATAACATAGTTCTCTTATCTATGTGTAACTCCAACTCGATTATGCTACATTGCATCAAAGATTGATGAGTCCTTCAAAAAAGCAAGGGATAAGATGAAAAGCCTAACGGCAGAATTTGAAGACGTGTTTACTATAAAAGATTCATCTCAACGTAAAAAAGAAGTTCATGGCATTTACAACCCTCCACGTAAACAAGTAAATGAAAAGAAGTTCCAAAGAAAAAGGTTCAAACCAAAATTAAGTGATATGGGTTCTGCAAACGTGAGGAACATAACAAAGTTACTTGTATATGATTGAAACTCAGTTTGCCAACAATTTCACCTCCAATCGAGCCTGATTTCTTGAAGGATGAATACATGGAACATTCTTGGAGTAACATAAATGATAATAATTATGTGAGTCAGTTGGTATATATTCTTTACCATAATGTATTACAATTTTACTCTTCCTTCCAAATTTCAATCTCCATACGGACTTTGAAGTACTAATCTACATATACGGTAACGATAATAACACCCGATATGTAAGACTTACATGTACAAAAAAATTAGTTTTACCTTTTCTGAACTAACCTGCATAAAAAATTAGTAATTAGTCCCATAAGTTTTTCCCTCTAACACTACTATCTTTCTGTTTGTCGCGCTTACAATTCAAGCTACCCTGACTGATTTCATCCCTTCTTAGTTTCTTTCATGGGAAACTAGATTGATTAATATTCTCATATGATCCTAATCTCCAACAACTATATTCGAATTGTCATTCCATTACCACATCATTTAATTTTAAATTGTATTTAAATTTTATAAATATATACTTTATCTAATCGTTTATCTTTTCCTCTCTTATCCCCAAATTTCGCTTGCGTTCTCCTGATCACATGAACGTCGCAATCATTTCTGAGCAATATAATTGATTTTCAAATACGATTCGTACAATTGTTACAAGTATTAGACAAATTAAGTTTTAAAATTGTTAAAATAAATACCCATTCGATTGCTCTTTCATTTGCTTCACCAAAAAATTCAAATATTTCAATGGCACTTAGGCATCCCAAATCCTCCTTAAAAATTGAATTACTAAAACCATTTTCTAATGATGTCATCTACATTAAAATATTTCAATTTGGATCGCCACCTTTTTATAAAACACAACATGCAATATAAATAACATTTTTCAACAAGTTAATCACCAATTTTTTCGCTTCTTCGACTCTCCTTTTTGCCCTTGCTGAAACAGGAGGATCATATACCCTTGCTTCTCGCAAAATCATATCCAACACCAACAAATACCAATGGATTCCATTGTCATTAATTGGAAACAAAAGTTGCTTAATTACATGTCATATGTTATTTAAGAAAATATAATACTTCCTCATAGTACATTATGGTAATGAGAGCATAGTCATTCATCACGGGACCATAAATATCCGCAACATGCTTATATTGTACTTTCTCGTCTAACATCATGATCTGCAATTCCCCTTCAAATAGTTACTAATTTCCCATCCATAACACTTCATTTTATATATACATTTAGTAATTTAACTTACTGATATGTTGCTAGGAAAGAACACAATCATTAATGAACTTGTACTCTTAAGAGATTCCCACACCAGCGTCTATCTGACCATATCAATAAACTAACAATGGTAATTAAAAAAAATAATTACTAAATTGCATATCAATATAACTTTAAACAAACAAAAAATTAATTACAGTTCTCAACTAACCCCTCCACCAACCCATTCATTCGGTTTTAATGTGTCTGTGTCATGTACTGTAATGTGTTGCAACCTAAATTCGACAATAACTTAGTTGAGTCAAAAGTATGTTTGGTTATATTTTTTCAAATCATAACTTATTTAACTATGACTAAAATATATAATACTTATCTCTTTGGCATAAACTATTCCATATATAATCACACAACACGTATTAAAAATCCACAACCCCAACGGTATTTGAACCCGAGACATTAGCCAAAAAACGAATACAAATATTTATCAATAATACAAATAATGAAGCACACAAATATTCTTTCCATTTATGTAGCAAAAAATATGCATCCACAAATATTCATCTCCAATGGTATTTTAATTTCTAACGAATTTGTTCATCTTTCCACTCTAACAACAATTGCTTCTCAGTAACCTTTTTTATAGATCCTGCAACCTATAATTTAGATTTAAACTTATATTAGTGACAACACTACAAGAAACAACATCAATTTCAATATCTATTATTCATCTTACCTTTTACTTTTTCTGCGGTTCACGACAATTAGAATCAAGTTCATGCTCAATCAATATATTAGATATCTCCAATCCAGAATCAGACACCCCCTTATTCTCATGACCTTTCAATGGCTCATCTATATCTTCCTTCACCTTCACTCCATCAAACAATCGTTTATTATTATTTTTCATAACATCAAATTTCTTTTCAACTGATCCAATGTAACTCTTAATCTCATTCATTTCTACCTTAAATTCACTAATTCATTCGTCACTAAATCTTTTTTCAATTCATCAACCTCATGAACGATTTTTTTTAATTTCTACAACACAACACCTCATCTCTTTTATTTCACCCCTCATTTTATCTACTTTATCCACCACCACTCTATCCAATTTTAAATTCAAATTTTCCTTATATTCCTTCCATTAAACTTGAGGGTCTCAATCGCTTCTTCAATTATGATTTGTTTATCCAAAACCTCAAAAAACATTTGTTTAATAAGAACCAAGTCAAACATAAATAGTTCCAGTTTCTCCATCACCGTTTCATTCACACAACTCACCTTAGCAAAAATCCTTCTCTTCAAAATTCTCTTCCTCCACAGGAATAACCTTCAAAATTTAAATTATAATATTAAACGATGTTATTCGATGCTTAATAACAAAATTTTACTTTAATTACATTTTCTTTCATTTTGCGTCTTTCCACTTTTAACTTTGTCATAATTCAAACCACATCTTTCTTACCCCATGCAAAAATGCGTGGTAACCCAAGTTTTTTTTGCAGTTGGCACAATTGTAAAATTAGATCAGAAATAAAAAAATACAATATGCAATAATTGTAATACCCCATATATCATGTCAGTGACTATATTGAAAGGATTTACAAATTTGAAGGATTTACAAATTTGAAGGATTAAATTGAATAAATGGTAAAGTATAAGAAAATGATTTAGAAATTGTGTCTAAGACTAATTAGTAAGAATAGAAGAATGAAAGGGTATTTTAGTCCTTTAGATGGAAATAAATTTAAAATTCATTTTTATTAGGGTATTTAAGAGTAAGAAAAAGGGAAAGTAGAAAAAAAGAAGCTAAGTTATCTTCTCTTCTCCTTCTTCCCGTGTGCCCGTTCACTCCAAAGCCAAATGTGAGTTTCCTCCAAGCTAGTTTTTCCTTTAGTTTAATGGCTGGCATTGAAACCTAGTGATATGGAGGCTTAAGGAAGGGTTAAAGAGGATTAAAACTAAGAGATGGATGATTTATTTGAGATTGAAGAAAATGGGTTTTTGAATGATATATTGAAATATGAGTTTTTATTGAGGTTTGCTAGTATATTTGACTTGTCAAATAATTAAATAAGAGATTAGAAGCATTGGATGTGATTAAAAACATGTATCAAAAAGTAGTATGATTCTTGGTTTGGGATGTTCTTTGGAGAATTTAGATGTTATAAGAAGCTAAATGGAGGAAAAGTTATGTTAAGTTTAAAGATATT